CCCGCCCCATGCTGAATATTTCACCTGCATTGAGTACTTGGCCCTACTGTGAGACACCAGGTGTTGCCCTTATTTGCAAATGGAAAACTGAGGCACACAAAAGGACTTGGTTTTTGTCTGGGGACATGCAGAGTAGAGGCCACAGAGCCGGGAGGCTGATCTGGGAGGTCTTTGGGACTTAGGTACAGAAGCGAGTTCTGGCCGGGGATCAGGGTCTCAGCCTGCTAGGGCTGGGGGAGCCCCTTACCTTTAAGACCTCAAATTCTTGGTAGGCAGGGCCCAGCCAGGCGCTCCTCAGCTGGACTTCTAGCCGCCGCACGCTGTCCTGTAGCACCTTCTGTGCCTGGGCCACCTCCTCCAGCACCTCGGCTGCGGCCTCTGCCTTCAGCTGCAGAATATCCTCCTCCATCTGCTTAATAAACAGGGGGTCACTAGTAGGATGACCAACTCATCTTTGTGTACCTAAGGACTTGCCTGAGTTTATCGCTGAAAATCTTGTATCCCAGGAATCCCCTCAGTCCTGGGCAAACCAGGATGGTTGGTTACCCTAGACATGAACTCCTCTTCGAGGCCACCCCACAGTGTCGCAGCTGCAGTGCCCACCTGAGTCTCCAACAGGCTTGCCCGAAGTTCCTGGGCTGCATCCCGGCCCCGGCTGACCTCCTGCCCCAGGAGTTCCACTGTGCGGCCATAGAGACCCAGGCTGTTCCTGGCCTTTGTCAGCCGTCCCTCCGTGGTCTTGTACACACCATTGAGGGCCTGGCCCAGCTGCAGGGTCCCGTGGAAGAGCAGGGTCAGCTCCTCATGCTCTGCCAGTTCTGGGCTGCCCACGGGGGCCGCTGAGGCAGGCTGGATCACCATTGCCAGGGCCCACAGCAGGCACAGAGCAGGCACTGGCATGACTGAGGGTCTGAGTGTGTAGCCACAGCACCGCCACTGAAGCCTTTTATGTCTCACACCCCCACTGATCCCCAGTCAATCGTTAACTGGCCAGCCGGGTGCCCCGCATTGCACAAGGGCCTGGTGGTGGTGCGATAGTTGCATCATGCAAATGTCCGGCTGGGCCACGCCGGGATCACGCTTCCTGGGGCTCAGGGCCAGGTGTGGGTGGGGGGCATTGGGAGAGGACAGGCCCCAGACCCCGCTGGGAGTTCCTGAGACTCACCATGCTGAGCCTGTTTCTCCATCTATGAATAGGCATCGCAATGATGATGGTAATAATAGTGAAGTTTTTTGTTTTTGTTTTTGTTTTTTTTTTGAGACGGAGTCTCGCTCTGTCACCCAGGCTGGAGTGCAGTGGCCGAATCTCAGCTCACTGCAAGCTCCACCTCCCAGGTTTATGCCATTCTCCTGCCTCAGCCTCCCGAGTAGCTGGGACTACAGGCACCCGCCACCTCGCCCGGCTAGTTTTTTGTATTTTTTACTAGAGACAGGGTTTCACTGTGTTAGCCAGGATGGTCTTGATCTCCTGACCTCGTGATCTGCCCGTCTCGGCCTCCCAAAGTGCTGGGATTACAAGCTTGAGCCACCGCGCCCGGCCAATAGTGAAGATTTTATAAGCATTGAGGGCTTTTATTGGCCTGGTTAGTAGCCAAGGGGGCAGGTGCAGGTGGCAGAGACTCTCCCAAGGTCACACAGCCTGATCTCCAAGACCTGCATGTACCCGGATCACCACTGACTGCCATTTTACTCCCTGGGAGATTGTGCAAGTACCTCAGTTTCCCTTTCTGTAAAATGGTGGTGATGTTAGTCCTGCCTCATGAGCTACTTGTCAGAAGTAAATGAGTGATTTCATGTTGAGTGCTTAGAACAGAGCCTGGCACACAGTAGGTGCAATTATTGTATTGTTGTAGTAATAGTGTTTGGTGCAGTTATTGTCATTGTTGTTATTTATCATCATCAGTATCGTTACAAAGGCTCAGCTGGAAGGCCTGAAGTGCCCATTATACACACAGGGAAACGGAGGCCCAGAGAGAGGTCAAGGCTTGCACAGAGTTGCCCCTGGGGGAAGGAGGCAGGACTCTGACTCTGGCCTCAGTTTCCGCACCTGAGAAATAGGCCACATAATTCTAGTGACCTCCTAGGGAAAGGGCAGTCAGGCCCTTGGGTGGGGCTTAGGCTTGACCACTGGCCACCTGAGCCACCTTGGAACTCTGGCCCCGAGTGCTTCGTTCTTCTCTGCCTTCTGTGTGTCACTGTGTCCACGAGTGCCTCCGATGTCTTTCTGTGTTCCCACCCTCTACCACGCTGTTCCCAATCCGTGCTTTGAGGGTACTCACTTGTCCTCCACCCTCTGCCCTCTGTCCTATCTCCTGCCTGATACCTGTATTACCTCTCACCTGGCCCTCAATGCCCCAGCCTCATGACCCAGTCTTCCCGGACTGTCTGTGCTCCCAGCCAGCCTTGTCCCATCACCCCAGCCTCATATGTGCACCTTCAGCGGCCCTGTTCCTCTGACACCCCCATCCTGCTCCCGACAGGAACCTGCTGTACGTGTACCCGCACAGCCTCAACTTCAGCAGCCGCCAGGGCTCCGTGCGCAACCTTGCCGTGCGAGTGCAGTACATGACAGGCGAGGACCCCAGCCAGGCCCTGCCGGTCAGTGACTGCACCCCAGGGAAGGAGGGGAGGGCATCCCCCATGGGTTCCTCATGCATCCACTCCGCCAGGTCATCTTTGGCAAGTCCAGCTGCAGTGAATTTACCCGCGAGGCCTTCACACCGGTGGTCTACCATAACAAGTATGTAGGGGGACACGTGAGGAACTCGGGGGCACTCATGGGGAGAGGAGGATGTCCCTTATATATACACATAGGGCAGCATCGATGAGAAGATGGGGGGCAGGAAGAAGAAGAGAGGTAGAGGCTCCCAGAGTGCTAATGAGGGAAGTTGAGGCAGAGAGCAGAGACAGTGAGGCCCAGCAGCAATGCAGGTGTGGCATGGCAGAGGTGATGGGGCAGACAGTGGGGAGCCCAGCCCTCAGCAGATCCCCCAGCCCGATTCTCCCAGGTCCCCTGAGTTCTACGAGGAGTTCAAGCTGCATCTTCCAGCCTGCGTGACAGAGAACCATCACCTGCTGTTCACCTTCTACCACGTCAGCTGCCAGCCCCGGCCGGGCACTGCCCTGGAGACGCCCGTGGGCTTTACTGTGAGCCGTCCCCTCCCTCCCTCCCTCCCCCTGAGCCCTCCTCGTCCCCAAGCCTGGCCGCAGACCTGACCTCCAGCCTCTCCCCAGTGGATCCCACTGCTGCAGCATGGGCGCCTGAGGACCGGCCCCTTCTGTCTCCCAGTGTCCGTGGACCAGCCGCCGCCCAGCTATTCCGTGCTCACACCCGATGTATGTGCCCCGGAGCGCCTGCCTGCCAATGCAGTCTCCCCAGAAGCACTCCCGAGTCACCTGCCTTCCTTCCTTTCAATCCTGGGAGGCTTGTTGGCCTCTACTGGTGCCTCCAGGGCCCCTGTGTAGCTCATTATCCCCTTATTAATGCCTCTCTGTGTCCTACCTGTCCTCCCCAAAGATTCCCGTTGCCTCTCTGCTCCATTCCCACTTTAGCACCCTGCTTGCCTTCCTGATCACTGTCCCCTGCCCCCGCAGTACCTTATCATTCCCCATGAATGCACCATCATTAATGACTCGAGGCCTCAAATCCTCCTATCCTGTTTCCTGACCTACTCAATGAGTGTTCATTCACCCTGTGTCTCCGTTCTCCACCCCTCTCCTTGGCATGTGGGTTTTTCAGCCTGCCCAGTGGACCCCCTCAGTCTACTGGGACCAGGGCTGGAGTCAGGGTGCTTGGTTGCACCCCCAGACCAGGCTATACTCACGCCACAGTGTCGCAATGGCTGGGGCTGCTGGGTGACCTGATCAGTCGGGGAGGGCTGACCAGTGCCCACCCGGTGCCTCCCTCCCACAGGTGGCGCTGCCGGGCATGCGCTGGGTGGACAGTCACAAGGGCGTGTTCAGTGTGGAGCTCACGGCCGTGTCCTCTGTGCACCCCCAGGTACGGGGTGGGGCGGGAACCCAAGAGTCCTGCCCTGCTCCCCTCTTGCCTGCCCTAGGATTGAGTAACAGTTGCCGATGGCCAGGGAGGTCTGGCCTCGGGCCTTGGACATGACTTTGGTCAGCTGGGCCCAGCTTTCAGGGAAGCTGCTGATTCAGGCGGGGGTGGTCTTCATCCCCTGGGGCCCCACCCTGCTCACTCCACGTCCCTACCCAGGACCCCCACCTGGACAAATTCTTCACCCTGGTGCATGTCCTGGAGGAGGGGGCCTTCCCATTCCGGCTCAAGGACGCTGTGCTGAGCGAGGGCAACGTGGAGCAGGAGCTGCGGGCCAGTCTTGCAGCACTGCGCCTGGCCAGCCCCGAACCCCTCGTGGCCTTCTCCCACCACGTGCTGGACAAGCTCGTGCGTCTGGTCGTCAGGCCCCCGATCATCAGTGGCCAGATTGGTAAGCGGATGTGGCCTCAGACCTCAGTTTCCCCATCCAGCACATGGCTCCTCAGTCCTGAGGTCCTGAGGGAACTTCTATAGGTCTATTTACCTCTCTGGCCATTTGTCTCATCTGATAAATGACCCCCAGTCCCCTACACCCAGAGAAGGTCTTCTGTGACCCTTTGGCTGGGCATGGCGGCTCACGCCTGTCATCCCAGCACTGTGGGAGGCCGAGGCGGGCAGATCACCTGAGGTCAGGAGTTCAAGACCAGCCTGACCAACATGGAGAAACCCCATCTCTACTAAAAATACAAAATTAGTTGGGCGTGGTAGCACGTGCCTGTAATCCCAGCTACTCGGGAGGCTGAGGCAGGAGAACTGCTTGAACCTGAGAGGCAGAGGTTTCAGTGAGCCAAGATCATGCCACTGCACTCCAGCCAGGGCAACAAGAGCAAAAATCCATCTTAAAAAAAAAAAAATCTGTGACCCTTTAATGAGCACATGATCCCTCAAATCCTGATGTCTTTATATTTGGAAAGTGGGCGGGGAGGTGAGAGGCCTTGGGCCCTGGAACTTGACCTCTGCTTTGCCCGGCAGTGAACCTGGGCCGTGGAGCCTTTGAAGCAATGGCCCATGTAGTCAGCCTTGTCCACCGGAGCCTGGAGGCAGCCCAGGATGCCCGCGGTCACTGCCCACAGCTGGCTGCCTACATCCACTACGCATTTCGCCTGCCTGGCACTGAGCCCAGCCTCCCGGATGGTGAGTTTGTAGAAATCCCTGGGAGACAAGAAATATCTAGGAGAAGAGGCTGGGTGCGGTGGCTCACACTTGTAATCCCAGGACTTTGGGAGGCTGAGGTGGATGGATCATTTGAGGTCAGGAGATCGAGATCAACCTGGCCAACATGATGAAACCCTGTTTCTACTAAAAATACAAAAATTAGCTGGGGCCAGGCACAGTGGCTTATGCCTATAATCCCAGCACTTTAGGAGGCCAAGGCAGGTGGATCACTTCAGGGGGTCAGGAGTTCAAGACCAGCCTGGCCAAAATGGTGAAACCCCGTCTCTACTAAAAATACAAAAATTAGCCAGGTGTGGTGGTAGGTGCCTGTAATCCCAGCTACTAGGGGGGCCGAATCATTTGAACCCGGGAGGCGGAGGTTGCAGTGAGCCAAGATCATGCCACCGCACTCCAGCCTGGGTGACAGAGTGAAACTCCGTCTCAAAAAAAAAAAAAGTAGCCAGGTGTGGTGGCACACGCCTATAGCCCCAGCTACTCAGGAGGCTGAGGCAGAAGAATCACTTGAACCCGGGAAATGGAGGTTGCAGTGAGCCGAGATCACGTCACTGCACTCCAGCCTGGGCGACAGAGCAAGACCCTGTTTCAAAAAAAAAAAAAAAGGAAAGAAAGATCTGGGAGAAGAGCATCCAAGTAGTGAGAATAGCATGTGCAAAGGCCCTGAGGCCTCACAGGCCTTGGCTGGTTTGAGCAACTTGCAACAGAGATAATGTCTTGCCCACTTTTGCCCCATCCTTGGGCTGTAGTTTCTGTTTGCTTGGCTGGAAAATGATTTAGTCAGTCAGCAAGCCTCTTCAGTAGCTTGGAGCGGGGACTGAAGCTGGACCGCCTGGATGTGAATCATGGCCCTGCCACCTACAATCTCTGTGACCTTGAGCGTGTGACGTCACTTCTCTGAGCCTGTTTTTCCTTTTGCAAAACAGCAGTAATAATAGTACCCACCTCATGGGGGCGCTGGTCATAGTAAATGACATAATAATCCACACAAAATGGTTAGCACAAAATGGTAATCCCTGTACAGAGTTGGATTTTTTTTTTTTTTTTTTTTTTTAATTTGCCAAATAAACACCAACCCCTATGTGTCAGGCATTATTCTCAGGGTTTTTTTCTTTTTTCTTCTTTTTTTTTTTTAAGAGTCGGGGTTGGCCAGGCATGGTGACTCACAGCTGTAATCCCAGCACTTTGGGAGGCTGAGGCGGGCGGATCACCTGAGATCAGGAGTTTGAGACCAGCCTGGCCAACATGGTAAAACCCTGTCTCTACTAAAAATACAAAAATTAGGCTGGGTGCAGTGGCTAATGCCTGTAATCCCAGCACTTTTGGAGGCTGAGGCAGGCAGATCACGAGGTCAACACATCGAGACCATCCTGGCCAACATGGTGAAACCCTGTTTCTACTAAAAATGCAAAAATGAGCTGGGCATGGTGGCGCATGCCTGTAGTCCCAGCTACTCGGGAGGCTGAGGCAGGAGAATCACATGAACCCAGGAGACAGAGGTCGCAGTGAGCCGAGATCGCCCTACTGCACTCCAGCCTGGTGACAGAGCAAGACTCTGTCTCAATTAAAAAAAAAAAAAAAATAGGTGGGCATGGTGGTGCATGCTTGTAATCCTAGCTACTCAGGAGGCTGAGGCAGGAGAATTGCTTAAACCCAGGAGGCAGAGGTTGCAGTGAGCTGAGTTCACGCCATGGCACTCCAGCTTGGGTGACAAGAGCGAAACTCTCTCAAAACAAAAAAGGAACAGTCAGGGTCTTACTCTGTCGGCCAGGCTAGAGTGCAGCGTCACGATCATAACTCACTGCTGCCTTAAACTGCTGGGCTCAAGTAATCCTGTTGCCGGCCGGGCGCGGTGGCTCAAGCCTGTAATCCCAGCACTTTGGGAGGCCGAGACGGGCGGATCACGAGGTCAGGAGATCGAGACCATCCTGGCTAACACAGTGAAACCCTGTCTCTACTAAAAAATACAAAAAAATAGCTGGGCGAGGTGGCGGGCGCCTCTAGTCCCAGCTAATCGGGAGGCTGAGGCAGGAGAATGGCGAAAACCCGGGAGGCGGAGCTTGCAGTAAGCTGAGATCCGGCCACTGCACTCCAGCCCGGGCGGCAGAGCGAGACTCCATCTCAAAAAAAAAAAAAAAAAAGTAATCCTGTTGCCTCAGCCTCTCCAAGTAACCGGAACCACAGGTGCGCACTGCCATGCCCGGCTAATTTTTTCATTTATTTTTTTGTAGGGACAGAGTCTTGCTATGTTGGCTGGGCTGGGCTTGAACTCTTGGACTCAAGTGATCCTCCTGGCTTGCCCTCCCAAAGTGCTGGGATTATAGGCATGAGCCACTGGACCTGGCCTATTCTCAGTTTTTCAATGCCCCCCAAATCTCTGTGAGGCGGCAGTCGTTATACTTATTTTATAGATGAGGAATTTGGAAGGTCAGAGAAGGAAAGTGATTTTGCAAAGATTAGCTAAGTAGGAAGGGACTGGGAGGCATCACATCAGGTGGGTGGGTGGTTGACCCTATTCACTCCATCCTCAGGGGCCCCTCCAGTGACAGTGCAGGCTGCCACACTGGCCCGTGGCTCTGGTCGCCCCATAAGCCTCTACCTGGCGCGTTCCAAAAGCATCAGCAGCAGCAACCCCGACCTCGCCGTGGCCCCTGGCTCTGTGGATGACGAGGTTTCCCGCATCCTGGCCAGCAAGGTAGGGCAACGGGGGCCCTGGAATCTCCAGGCTTAGTGGTTGTAGCTGCCGCGTGGGTGGGCAAAGAATCTCTGCTGATGAAACATAGGAAACAACAGAGACGACAACATGGATGAAGGCTTAACTCTGGGCAGCAGAGTTGGGCTGGGCTGTCGCAGGTTGTGGGGTATGGATCAGACTTGGTACTGAGCTCTGTACTCCATGACTGACCCGAGGACGATGGCAGAGCTTGGCGTGGCTGAACAAAGAGCAATATGTACCTAGTGTAGCAGGTGCATATACACATTCACTTCATGCATATGCCTACACAGGTGCATATACACATTCACCCCATGCATGTATGTCCACAGGTGCATATGCACATTCACCCCTCACTTGCATATACCTACACAGGAACATGGGCACGTTCACCATATGCATATATATACACGGGCACATATATATGTTCACCCCATGAATGTGTGGACACAAGTGTGTATACACCATTCACCCCATGCATATATGTACACAGGTGCATATACACATTCACCCCACGCATAACGCATATACAGACCCAGGTGCATATACACGTTCGCCCCACGCATATATAGACCCGGGTGCACATACATGTTCGCCCCACGCATATACAGACCCGGGTGCATATACACGTTCGCCCCTGTCTCTTATACACATCTAGATGTGTATAAGAGACAGTGCATATACAGACCCGGGTGCATATACACGTTCGCCCCATGCATATACAGACCCGGGTGCATATACACGTTCGCCCCACGCATATACATGTTTGCCCCTTCGCCCCATGCATATACAGACCCGGGTGCATATACACTTTCGCCCCATGCATATACAGACCTGGGTGCATATACACGTTCGCCCCAAGCATACACAGACACAGGTGCATATACAGTTTCGCCCCATGCATATACAGAGCCAGGTGCATATACACGTTCGCCCCATGCATATACAGACCCGGGTGCATATACACATTCACCCCGTGCATATACAGACACGGGTGCATATACACATTCACCCCATGCCTCTACTTACGCAGGTGCATATACACAGTCACCCTGTGCCTGTATGTACACGGGTCCGTATTCACCTCATGCATATACGTATACGGGTGTGTATACACATGCACCCCATGCACAGACGTACAGGGGTGTGTATGCATGCACCCATGGACCCACATACACAAGTATGTATAGGCATGCACCCAATGGACCTACATACATATGCACATTTTTCAGGATTTTCAGGACGTATGATGATACATACGTGGGCACATTTTTCAGAATTTTCAGGACGTATGATGATACATACGTGGGCACATGTATGGTCCAGAACCATGTCCACGCTTGGTATTTCATGCTGCTTTCCCTGCCCTCCACTGGGGATGCTAGCACTTCTCCGTGTATCTCCAGGGCATCGATCGTTCACACTCCTGGGTGAATTCCGCTTATGCTCCAGGAGGCAGTAAGGCTGTGCTGCGGCGGGCACCCCCTTACTGTGGGGCCGACCCCAGACAGGTGCCCTTCCTACCTGTCCCTGCACTTGTGTGACACCACCTCAGCATGAGCTCCTCCCACCTTCCTGGCTGCATCTGACTAACCTAAGGGGGCTGCCTGAAGGAGGTGGCAGACCCCTCTCCTGCCTTTGTTTGGGGCTGTGAAGTCTGTGTTTAGGCATCGCTGGGTCATCTTAACTGGCCTTTTGCTGCCACATAGGCCACAGTCTCAGATGGAGACAGAAGGCACAGGGATGATATGCAAATAGCATGCAAATGAAGTGCAAATCCAGTCACCCATAACCTCACTGCCCTGCATGGCCTATTCACCTCCCTTTAATCCAACCAGATCATGGGATTCTCAAAGGGCTGGACCGGAACCTCTCGGCTCCCCTATCCCATTTAAGACAAAGAGCTCCCCTTACTTACCCTGCCTCTTTCCAGGTACCTGGTGTAGTGGAGGGCTTTGCCTCCAAACAGACCTGGGTTCAGGTCCTATCTCTGCTATGAGCTCACCCCATGCTCTGAGCAATTGGATGCATCTTCCCTAGCCTCAGTTTCTGCATTTGTAAAATGAAGATAACACTCCAATTTTTCAGATGCAGTTTGGACTCAAAATATGGTGCTCCCCCAGCAGTCCTGAGCCTGTGCTTGAGTTAGGGCTGAGGGCATTGCAGTGGGATTTTGTTGGGATGATAGATTCTTGGTCCGGCCTTGACCGTGAGCTTCTAACTAGTTGCGGAAATAGACATGGATCAAACAAATGCGTTAAGTGTATGATCACACAGCGTGGAAAGGAAGCAAGTAGCAACCCAATACCAGCTTCTCTCTGGGTGGCCTTGGGGGCTTCTCCAGGGGGGTGACATCTTTTGCTGGGACCTGAAGGGTGAGATAGAGTCAGCTAGGGAAGGGTGGGTGGGTGTGGGTGTTGCAGGAAGAGGGAAAGGCATGTACAAATATTGGGACCAAGGTCAGAGGACTGTACACACAGAGCAGGCCACAGGGCTTGCTTCCTTACACACTTGGCCCTAGGGCCTCTTCCAGCTCTGTGCCCATCACCAAGGCAACCTGTACCCTATGACAGGCCCAGGGGACTGTTAGCAGAACAAGCAGGGGGGCCTTAGGGCAGTCATTTCCTTGGATTGTTGGGAATCTGGAAATCTGGGTGACACTGAGGCTGGGCCTTTTCAGTGGAAGGCCCTCGTGGTGCACAGTGAGTTGCCAGGGCATGGCTGGGACTGGGGTAGCTAGAGAGCCCTCCAGTGTCAGAGTAGGTCCCGGGGTTGGGTCGGCTCTGTCATCAGACCTCCCCTCCCTGCGAGCAGCCTCGCCTCCCAACCAGCGAAGGAGGAAGCAAGAGTGGAGCTTGAACTCCTCTGCCCATACCCATTTCACAGATGGGAATACTAAGGCCCAAGCCAGGCTTGGGCAGGGCCAGGCCTGGAACCTTGGACTGTCTCTGCTATTCCTGGCACCTCATCAACATCTCACCTCCTCTGCCCTTATCTTTCTGCCTTGTCTTTCTCCTCCTTCCCCATCTTGTGTTTAACCTCCTCTGTCCACACTCACCCTCCTGCACCTCTGCGTCCTCCTGTCTGTCCTCTAGACTCACTGACTCGGTCATACTCTACACCTCGTCCACACTCACCCTCACCTTCTCTGGCCACACACATTCTTGCTGTCTACACTGATTTCATCTCCTCTGCCTTCACCCCACACACCACGCACCCATTCCCAGCCTTCGTGTGTTCTCGGTCCTGCTCCATCCACACTCCTTCTGCCTATTGTGTTGGCACTCTGTGTCACTGCTGTACCGTGTTTTCATTGTTATTCTCACCTCCTCTATCACATTCTTTTTTTTTTTTTTTTTTTTGGAGACAGAGTCTCGCTTTTGTCACCTAGGCTGGAGTGCAATGGTGTAATCTCGGCTCACTGCAACCTCTGCCTCCTGGGTTCAAGCGATTCTCCTGCCTCAGCCTCCCAAGTAGCTGGAATTACAGGTGCCTGCCACCATGCTTGGCTAATTTTTGTAGTTTTAGTAGAGATGGGGATTCAACATGTTGGCATGTTGGCCAGGATGTTCTCGATCTCCTGACCTCATGACCCACCTGCCTCAGCCTCCCAAAGTGCTGGGATTACAGCATTCCTTTTTTTTTGAGACGGAGTCTTGCTCTGTCACCCAAGCTAGAGTGCAGTGGTACCATCACAGCTCGCCGCAACCTCCAAGTCCCAGGGTCAAGCAATCCTCCTGCTTTGGCCTCCCGAGCAGCTGGGACTACAGGCACACGCCACCAGGCCCAGCCATATATATATATATACACACACACACACACACACACACACACACACACACACACACGTATTTTTTTTTTCTTAGTAGAGTCATTATCTTACTATGTTGCCCAGGCTGGTCTTAAACTCCTGGGTTCGAGCAGTCCTTCTGCCCCAGCCTCCCAAAGTGCTGGGATAACAGGTGTTGAGCCACCCCACCCAGCCTTACGTTCTTCCCCCATACCCACACACCTTGATCTTGACTCACCCAGCTCTCTCCAGCTACTCTTTTATTTGTCCCTGCCTCCACTGCTCTGTCTACTCCCACAGCACCCTGGCCATGCCAACCAGCCTCCCCTCCCCACCCACGCTGACCCATCTCTCTTTCCTGCCTGCCCCCACTGCCCGTCCATGGCCCTGACCCATCCATGTGGAAGCATTTCTTTCTCTATATTCACACTGACCCACCTCTTGTCCCCCATCCCTGTCTGCATGGACACGTCTTTCCTCCAACCACGTACCCCTTCACCTCATCCACACTAACCCTCTCCTCACCATCACATCCCATCATAGGCCATCGACCGCACCTCTAGCCGAGCCTCCTCCTACCTCGAGGGTTCCTCCTCAGCCCCACCAGCCACCCAGCCGAGACCCACTGTGCAGAAGGTAGTAGGGGGAAGGGTGGATGACTTCATTTTTGTCCTGGCCCCCAGCAAAGGGGTCCAGTGCTCCTCCCCCATCCAGAGCCCAAGGGGGTCTGGTGAGCCCAGGGAAAGGGCACGTCCACTCCTCTTACCCCTCTCCTCCTGCTTGGCTCCTGCTGCACTAACCCCGAGCCCTCCGGCTGCATCCTCCCCTGGCATGCCCTCCAGAGGGGGTGCGGGAAGGGGTGGCACCTTGCACTCTGTGACCCCTGCCTCTGTCCCCAGCTGCTTCACGAGGAGCTGGCTCTGCAGTGGGTGGTCAGCAGCAGTGCCGTACGCGAGGCCATCCTCCAGCATGCCTGGTTCTTCTTCCAGCTCATGGTGAGACCCCCACCTCCCTGCCTGGTGGCAAGAGACCCCCAAGGGAGCCCCTTCCTTTTTTAAAGAGAGATGCCCCCTGGCCAGGCGCAGTGGCTCATGCCTGTAATCCCAGCACTTTGGGAGGCCGAGGCGGGTGGATCATGAGGTCAGGAGATCGAGACCATCCTGGCTAACATGGTGAAACCC